GATGGGGAGAACCGTCCGTACAAGTATTGGATGCCTAGGAGTACCCGCACTCGGTACTGCTGGATACTGCTAGGTACCCAATGCTTGTGCGGACAATGCGCACTCTGCATGTAATAATTTTTCTCTCTCCAGAGACATACATGTGCTGTTACAAATCATTTTAATTAATTTTTAATAATCATAGAAAATAATAAATTTTATGAAATTTTATCATAGACCATCCACTATGGGATAAAGAATAATTTGCGTAAATTTCGACAATCAAAATTATTGTAAAATTGCAATATTATTGCGTGCATGAAAATGATAGTTGTCGCATAATGACATGAGTATTTCATCTTATTTAGGCTTCCTTCAGAACGACTTTTTTGCTGCTTCTTAAATCATATTTTTAGTATAAAATTTTAATTTTTGTACTATAAAGCTGCGCTACAAAATAGTAAAAAAGTCATCACAAACGAAATCTTAATAACATACTCTCACTTCTTGAGAATTAGAACATTTCCATAACTTCAACAAAATTATTTGACAAATGGCCGATAAATAATGATATATTTAAATATGGTTACTATTCATATCTTCTACTTAAAATAAAATAAAATAAAATATAAAATTTTTGATCTCTTCTTAATTTGTAAAAGGATTATTTTCATATTCTTTTCAGCCCAAAGATTCATATGCGTGTAAAGGGAGGACAGACAAATGGAGAATACTATTAGATAAAAGTCCTTTAATATATGTTTTTTTTTTTTAATTTCAATATTAATGAAGGGAGATCAGAAGCGGTGATACTAATTATGTTTTAAACAGAGGATTAAGATTACTAAACATTCCATTGGGAATTAATAACAATTTTATCAAGCCATTGCCTTACTTTTTTTTTTAGTCCTAGTAAATGTTGATCCTCAGAAACCAACACTCATACGGCTATAATCTAAAATAGGGGAGTAAATGAGTCAATCCGAGCTTGAGTCACCCCTGTCTTGAACTTGAGCTTGAGTTGAGCCGGCTCGTCAGCAAAGAAAGAGAGAAGATTAGTATTATTCAAGCAATTATTATAAAAAATTGTAAAAAAAGAATGAGAAATTAGAAGAAAAATAATAAATAATTACTTAATATAAAAAAAGAGTGAGATATGGTTTTTAAATATTTTTAATACTATTATCATTAAAATCACCAATGCTAATATATTTTAAGTGTGTTTTTTATTAATGTATTTTAACTGAGCTAGCTCTCGAGATAACAAGTTGAGTTGGAGTTGGCTCAGGATTGTCTTGTTGGTTCATCGAGCTAGACTCATGAGCCATTTATTGAGTTGTGTTCAAGTCGGCTCATGAGTCGCAGAGTCGGCTTGAGTCACTTACACCCTTGATTCCAAAATAATATTTAAAAAGTTCTTGTACTGATCTTGGCTAGGAAGCTATATTTTGATTTGATTCAGCTTCCTTATTATAAATCTGATTATTCATTAGTTTATACACACTATAAAATTCTTATGTATTTATACATTTAACACAGAATTTTTTAAATTTACTTATAGAACACTCATATTTTTTGGTCATATAAAAATCATCACTAACATTAACTTTTTTAAAATAGAACACATATTTATTTTGATGTGATTTGACATTAAAGTGATATATAAATAAATATAAAAAATTAGATACCCGACCCGATTTCAAAACGGGTCAAGTTCGGGTTCTAGAAATCGGCCCGTTTGAAAAATGGGTCTGGTTTGGGTAGACCCAACGGGTTACCGGGTCAACTCGCGAACTTGTTTAAAATCAACTGCCCGCACTGCCCCGCCTGCTCGCGACGCTGCCCCGCCTGCCCGCGAAGCATCAGCGCTCGCCCACTCACACCAGCGCTCGCCCGCGTGCATCCCGCTGTCCTGCACACACTTGCGCTACCCCCCGATGCCGATCACGCACTCGCTTTTGCGCCTGCCACCCGCTTGCTCTCGCTCGCGCACCGCCCGCTCGGGCTCCCTAGCGCTCCCGCTGGCGCTCGCCTGCGCGGCCACTCGCGCACCCGTTTCGGGTCAACCCGTGTCGGGTCGGGTCAATTCCCCCAGTTAAAAAAAAATTAAAATACTATTATCTTTAGGTGGATGTCCCCTAGCAGAATCAAACACATTGTGAAGATATGTTATTTATAAATTTACCCCCCCTAAAAATCAAGGCGGATTCCACCCGTGCATTTACGTTACTTACCATTTATATCACTCCTTAGCATGTGCACACAGCAACAACAACATCAATAATGTTAATATTTTTCCAATAATTTCATGCAAAATTGGTGCCCGGAGAAATGAATAAGATGGCATCTGCTCTTCACGTGCTTTGGTATATTGAATTTATTTATAAATTCTATAGCTTTATACCTTTTGCATGTGAGCAGTTGGATTAATGCCCTAAGGAACACATATGATATCAATGAGAATGTGAGAGAGGCTTTTGATGTGCCTATTTTGAACTATGAGGTTTTATTTGCTATTCTTGTTTGCTAATTAAGATTGATATTGCCACCAAAATTGTCATTAGTCTTTGAGGGCTTCCAAAGAGCCTGCATTTAATGCATCTAATTATGAGATTAATGATAGGAAAAATTAAAAAAAAAAAGATATTTGATATTTTTTTAAATAACATAAAGAGTAAATTTGAGTTCTTTAGTTAGGGGGATACTTCTTATGGGCATAGTCCCATAATTAAGTACATTCTATGTACAATGCTTATGTGTTTGGGTGAGGTGGGGGATTGATCAACCTTAAGCAAAATGATCATATTCTCATCATAAATAAAAAAACTTGAATGGCCAAACTCATCATCCAATTGAAGGCTGAGAACTCACTACTAAAAAGCTGAATTTTTCGCACGAGTTATTAGTAGCGGTTTAAGAACCACTTTTAAAAATCTCTTTTTGCACCAGTTTTAACCGATGCAAATAACACCAGTTTGGCACCATTCTGGAGCTTTGAACCGGTTATAACCACTGCTAAAGTATGCATATCTACCATGCCGGTTCTTGAACCGCTGCAGAATGTCATTGCAGCGTATTGCAATTACAGCGGATATGTAGCGGTTTTAGAACTGCTGCAAGTAAAATAGTAGCGGTTAAAACCACTGAGATATGTCAAAAATTGTGCTGCGGTAGCCCCATTTTTTGGTAGTGGATCAGCTACTCGTATCAGGAGCATTCAAACACATAATTTACTGATGAGAGAGAGAGAGAGAGAGAGAGAGAGAGAGAGAGAGAGAGAGAGAGAGAGAGAGAGAATTCTAATGAGCTAGTTTGAATATTTTTTTTTTTTAAACATTTAGGTTAATAAAGGGCATCTCCAACCAAACCGAATCGAACTCCATTTGCCTATCGTCTATTTCTAGTTTAGGGCGCGAGTCTCCACCTGAACAACAACAACAACAAAAACAACAACAAGCCTTTGTCTCACTACATGGGGTCAGCTACATGAATCCTTTTTCTTCATGATGTTCTTAATATAAGTCAAATCTAATACCTCTAATTTCCTAACCGTGTCATCGAAAGGCCGCCGTTTTATGTGACCAAATCATCTAAGGCGACATTCTATGTACAATACTCCACCCAAATACCAAATAGAAATGCATTTTGCATTTTCTCTCTATTGCGAGCAGTGCAGCGCCAATATTGATGTCACGCTATTCAAAACACAAAAATGACGTTCGTTTTGTCGTTCTGTTGGACGCTCGTAGCTATTGCAAACCGAAAAATACTGTTCATTTGAAAATGATCTAAGATAAACCCATACACACATCATATACAAAATACTCAGATCTAATATCTCTTAGTTGATAATCAAAGCTCTCAAATCTCAACTAACATATAAAAAAAATTATGTTAATTTGAATACTCATCCCATTTAATAAAAATCACACGCGTCATTTAAGTTTCTTTTATTTTTTTATAACTTATCTTCATATTTAAAATTAGGATACAATAGTATGATCTTATCTTCCTAATGATATTGATATTAATAAAAATCACAGCTTTTTCTATGTTGCTGATATAATTTTTCCTCTTTGTATGGCAGTCGTTGAGCTAAATTTTAATAATAGTAACTGGTCTGTCTTAGTCAACGGCAATCATGGAAAAGACAGACAATAATAAGAAGACTTAAAGAAAAAATATTTTAATTACATACAACGGCATAAGAGACAAAGTAGGCTTAATCAAAGCTTAATTAGGTCATAATTCGCCCCAAGTAGGAATCATTAATCCATCGCCATGATTAGTCAGCTCAAATTAAGAATATTTTATCCAATTTTTAATTAGGATAAATTTTGAAAATTTTAAAACTATTTTAAAATAAATATAATATAATTTATTTATACAATACAATTTTTTTTTGAAATACATTTGACTGCTTAAAAATTCACTATAACCATATTTAGTATTTAGTAAAGAAAGTAATAAACTGACTGACATGTTTTTCTATTTCATCAATTAGGTTTGATTATTAAATTTTAAAAATTGGTTTAAATAACTTTTTTTTTCAAATTAAATTTTGAAAGAATTAAAATATAATTGACTTAAGTAATAAATTTAATTATCTTTAATATAAATAATATATTTAAAAAATATTTATCAAAATTTAGAATTTTGATATACTGAAGCTGAAAAGTTTTTATTTTTTTTTATTTTTTTTGTTCTTCTTCACAAAATACAAAGAATAAATTCAAGATCATTAATTATATTATTATTTTTTTTTGCAAAAGAAAAAATCAACCAATATATTTAGTATTATATTTTCTAAAACTAATAAATGTTCATTTAAAATAATAATACTAAAATCTTTAAGAGTATTAAGGAAATAATAAATTTTATTTTAAATAATTTAATTAACAGTGCAATTATACACACATTGCTTAAAAAAAAAAAAAAAAAAAAAAAAAAAAAAAAAAAAAACAGACACAAATAGGACAAACAGAGCCATTACCCTCCACTCACTGAAGGGCATAAACAAATCTAGAAAACGACAATTTAAATTATTTGTTTTAATTATTATACAAGCCCCACCCGTTCACAAGAAAGTAAAAATTAGGAAAAAGAAAGTATACCGAGTTCTAAACCGCAAAAGCCAAAACGCCAACGCAGAATCAAACAAACAAAACAACTACGGTTACGAGTCCACAGATTACGGACAAGGCCGGTGGACGGCGGCCGCTCCCGGCATCAGAAGCCGATTCCGGCTGCTCCAATGGGCCGATGGCGGTCTTTCCAGAAGCAGGCGTCAGGGGCCAGCCTCGCTGACGACCTAACTGGCTCCGACTTGCACCTCGTAAGGACCATCGGTTCGTACGGCGCCACGGCCGCCGGACGTGCCAATAGCTTATGCTGAACGGCCGTGGATTTCGATGGATCCGGCCTCGGAGCGACCAAAACGACCGTTGCCGCCGATTCCGCCGCCTGGGGTTCCGGCGGTAGAGGAGCGGCATTGACGTCAGCGGATTCGCCGACGGCGGCGGGCTTCGAAGGTATGCGGTTGCGTGTCTGTTGAGGGCGCCACCGGACGAAGTCGTTGCTGCAGACCCAAGTCTCTTTGGAGACCTCCATGGAGAGCTTAGGCTCGTACATCATCATCAATAAGCAGTCGGGAAGCTCAGTCCATTCCCCAGCTTCGCCCTTCTTCTCTTCTTCGACCTCTGCTTTATGTTTTTCCTCAGCAGTCGCTAGCTTTCCGCTTTCTGCTTCTCCAGCGGCTTCCGTCTCTTCTTCTTCTTCTTCTGGTGTTACTTCTTTCTTCTTCTCTTCTTCGGGAGAAGCTTCTGTAGCCGAAAAAGTGAGAGATTTTATATGATCGCTTGGCTCCAAGTCAGCCTTTTCTAAGGAGAAGCTCCACCTCCTCCCTCTGTCAATGGAGAAACTTGCTCTCTTTGCTTCTCTATCTGATGAGAAGCTGTGCCTTCTTGCGTCGAGTTCAGATGAGAAACTGTGCCGTCTGGTATCCTTCTCCTTCCAGCGCCTCCTCCCTCTCTCCTTAGATCTGGAAGCTTTCATAGTTCCAAATCTTCTTTCTTCCGAGACTTTTATTCCGTCTGCTCTCTCTTCCCTCTCCTTAAATGAAAGGAATTTGTTTCCTACTGCTTTCTTCTCTTGATTTCGCTCTCCATTTACTATTTCTTTTTCTTCATCTTCTGGGGGATTTACCTCCAAGACATACGGAGATCCACATGAAAACTCTTCTCTTGTGATACCATTTTCATCTATCAGTTGCTCCTCCTCCACTATTAGCCTATTTTCTTCTTCAGTGGCCTTTCTGCAGTCAACCTCTTCTTCCTCTAACTCCCCTGCTACTCCAGGAGCTTCAACAGTGTCGACTTCTTCCTTCTCCACCAACGGCTTTTCACCATCTTCTTCCATTTTCTGCTTGCTACCATGCCTTTCCACCTCTTCTTCCACTTCATTATCTTCTTCCTCCTCCTGCTCTTCTTCACATGGAGGCCTGGTAACCGGAGATCCCCAGAACCTGTTTGCCAGAGCTGCCATTTTCACTGGATCTGACCTACATCTCATCAATAACAAAGCATTCCTCGGTGGAATACAGACACTAACCCTCGCCGCTGCCGCCTCCTCTTCACCTTCTCCCTTATCACCCACAACCAAAATTTCTCCTCTCTCCCCTCCCATGTTTCCCATTTCTCCGATCTCCACCTTCTCCTCATCCCTTACCAACAACCCAACCTCCACCTTCTCCCCTCCCTTCACCTCCTCTTCGTTCTCCTGAACCGCCAACAACCACTTTGCCACTACTGCTCCGCATGAACTCGAGCTCGCCGACCTCACCATCCTCGTCTCTCCTATCCCCTTCTCCTTCCCTGTTCTAGCTCCACAAGGAACAAAGCAGTTGAAATCGGAACCAATACCTCTCAACGCCTCGCAGATGCTGAGCGGAAGCTGATGAACCCAACTCTGGTTCCTCCCAGGGCAGCAATCTCTTCCTCTCTTCGACCTCGACCTCGCCATTGCTGTCGACTTCACCTTCTTCTTGGCCTTGACGCGAACTTGCCCGATGCAGGTGACTTTAGGCGAGGAGGGCTCGGCAGCCTCAAAGGCGCAACCTTTCTTCCTTCCTGCGAGTGGCACACCTGAGGGGAACATGGGAGACTGGCCGCCCTTGACACTGCCGCTACTACGGAGGCGGCGGCTGAGGGAGGCAGAGAGCGCCGGTGCCGACGAGGAGTCGCGGCATCGGCCAGGGCTCATGAGCGCTTTGGTAGAGGGGACGCGCTTGGTGGTGGCAGCGGATGTGGCTGATGAGGAAGAAGGCCTGGCACTGAAGCAGATGAAGAAGTCGCCGGCGCCGCCGGAGGAGCTCCTGCTTGGGTGTGGATGGGATCTTTCTACTGCCTCCATTGTTGCTCTTCTCTTCTTCATGTGCTTGATGCTATCTGGAATAAAGAAAGAGGGTTGTGCAGAGAGCTACGAATAAAAAAGGATGCACGGAAAAAGGGGATCAGGCGAAATGGGTAAAACGTTGAGACTGCAGGAAGGCGCAACAATCAATCGGCTAAAAAATAAAAACAAAAAAACGAAAAATTTATAAGGTCCAGCTCGGCGCATAAATGAGCCCGAATCAAGTACAAGTTATTTTTACTCTGAGTTTGAGCTTAATTAATAATTGAGTTTTGAGTTTATGATTGAGCTTAGTTTTTTATATTTGAGTTAATGAACTGTTTGTTTATTTATTATAAAATAAAAAATAATAATTTTTGTCAGAATAAAATTTATTATAAAACAATACTCAATTTAGATGAGATAATCTGAAATGATTTAAGATTGAGAGGAATAGAGATTATTTTTACATATTTTTAACAATTTTATTCTTGAATATATACATGTGAATTTTATGTTAATATTTTTTATATAAGTCGACTCGTGAGTTAAGGGGTCAAATTAGGACTAGTATAAATTTGATTCGTTACGAGATATGAGCTATTTGTGGAGTTGAACCTTAACTAGCTTTGGAGCTAGCTTGTCTTAAATAAACTCTAGGTCTAGCACTCTCAAAATGATCTCAATAAAGTGATTAAATATTATAATGAGCATTGTTCTTCATAATTAAGTAAGAGGTTAATATAATATAATAGATATAAATAATGAATGAAATAGGTATCATGTGACAGTAACATTTTTGAGGTATTAGAGTTATAACTAATGATGAGATGCATTTGGCTTTATCGAAGATGGGACAATTGAGAATAGATATATCGAACGTCAACATTGATCATTTGTTGACATTGAGCAATAGTTGATGTGGAACTTTGAAAGGCAGACAAATTGGGTTGGTCCCTCTCATTATAAGAAGGTAGATCTGAGGAGTAGGAAAACATGCTTCTTATTGAGATTAATAGGCATCAGACGTTGGTGATGTTGGATGTCTAATGTCAGCAATGGAGGTTATTGAACATTGATGCTGGTAGATATTGTTATTGATTGATGGGTGATGATCAAACATTTGCAATGGGAGTTGTTGATGTCGTCAACAACAAAGATGACATAGTTCTAATATTCTTTGAGTATAGTTTTTCTCTAGAAAAAGTCTCCATAAATTATGTTGGAATAGAGCTTATTTATCATGGAGGGACATTCATTCACTCAATATACCCTAATTCATTCATTCGGTTCAACTCCACATCTCATTTATCCTCTGCTCCTCCCTAGTGACCTCGAGCGTGGATGCAGACACGTTGCTCCTCTTGTCTCACCTCTTCCACGTGTGCAAACGACAAACGAAACTTCTAATGATGATTGAACATCTTTCGTGTGTGCAGACAAAACTTCCAGCTTCTCTCTGCTTGGTTTCCCTGGACCTGAAGTCCTTAACCTAGATAAAGGACAATAGATCATCCAGTTTTTTATTTTTATTTTTATTTAATTTTTAATTTATGTTGCTTGTCAGTCAACCTAAGGTAGTTTTTTTTTTTTTTTTTTTTTTTTTTTTTTTTTTTTTTGTCTTCTAAGTTCCAAAGATTATATTTCAATGTCCTATAACATTCTGAATCATATGTTGCTTGCAATGTCACAAGATAACATCATAGGGAGGTTTAAAAATTTATAAAAATGAGGATCTCATATGATTTTATAAAATTTAATAAAAAACTATCTAAAGATATAATGTTTGAATCATATGTGATGTTTTAATAATTGTTTTCACAATTTTTTGTTCTAATATTTTGATATTCCTGTCCTTCAAAGTTTCTATAAGAGCTCTTTTGTTTCAATCACTTTGAATTACTGGTGGAAAACTTTTTAATTAAACTATGGACAATCATAATTATCAAACACTGCTGATTTGTGTTTAATGGTTATTAAGTTTGTTATGTTATGATAGGGCAAAAACCCTTTTATTCTATTTGACATTGCATTAATATTCCCTTTTCTTGAGTCTTTTATGTAGGAGAGAAATTCTTTGAAATTTTTTTGCACTCTTGTTTAAAATTAATTGTTCATGATATTCATAAAGATATAATAAGAGCTACAGCTAATTCAATTACTAAATTCATATAGAAGGAGATTGGTGATAATTTTTTCTCAATTTTAGTTGATGAATCACATGACACATGCAAAAGAGTAAAATGATAACTATAGTGTGCTCTGTTAACAAGAAAGTTTAGATAATTGAATGATTTTTGAAGATTCTCATGTGCCAGATGTAACATCAAGCAGTCAAAAAATAGCAATTGAACAACTACTTTCAATTTATAGATTGAGCATTTTTTGAATGCATGGTCAAGGTTATGATGGTGCTAGCAATATAAGAGGATATTTTAATTGTGTAAAGTTCTATTTCTAAGTGAAAAAAGAAGCACATTACATTCAATGTTTCTCACACCAGCTTTAGTTAGTATTGATATCAATTGTGAAAAATCATGTTCAAATTATTTTGTTATTTGGTATAATTTCAAATATGATAAATATTATTGACATTTTATGTAAGCTTCATGATCAATTTTGTTCATTAATAGAATTACATAGTAGAGAATTAATAACTGGGACGAGGCTTGAATCAAGAAATAACTCTTAGGCGTGCTAGCAATATACGATGGGGTTTGCATTATGAATCAATTATAAAGTGATCACAATGTTATCTACAGTAATTGGTGTTCAAGAAATTATTTTGGAAGATGATATAAGCTCAAAATAAAGAGATGAGCTTATATATTATTGAAATAATTACAAACCTTTTTTTTTTTTGCCTATATCTATTGAAAGATATAATTGGTACCACTAATGAATAATCACAAGCTTTGCAGAGAGGAGAACAAGATATTATAAATGTTATATCTTTAATATATATTTGTAAAAATGAGAGACAATAAGTGGGCATACTTCATTAGTAAAATATCTTCATTTTGTAAGAAGCGGAAAATAAATGGTCCACATATGGATGATAAATGAGTTGCTTGTGGTCGGCCTTGTCATAGAGCTCAGGATATAATAAATTCATACAATTTTTGGGTTGAAATTTTCTATACAGTTGTTGTTATGCAACTTCAAGAGTTGAACAATTATTTTACAGAAGCAAATACTGAGCTACTTTTGTCTATATCATGTTTGAATCCTAATAATGATTTTTTGCATTCAATAAAGATAAGTTAATTAGAATGAGTTTTATCCAACTAATTTTACTCTTTTTGATCAAGAGGTTCTTGAAATTCAGTTGGACATTTATATTATGAATATGATATCTAATGATCAATTCTCTTCATTGAAAGATATATGAAACCTTGCTGAGAAAATGATTCAAAGTAGAAAAGACATAATATATCATATTATTTTTAGATTATTTGAATTAACATTAGTATTACAGGTTGCAACAATAGGGGTTGAAAGAGCATTTTCTGCTATGAATATTATAAAAATCATTTGTAAAATAGAATTGAAGATTAATAACTGAATAATCATTCAACTCTTTCAGAATAAGAATAGTATGTGTTATAAATTGTATGTTGTTTAATATCTTATATTTAATATAATACATTTATAGATAATAAATTTAAAAAAATGTTTAGAAACTACCTATATTGATCCAAAACCCGGATGAAAAAGTTGAGGGGAAAAAAAATAGCCCCCCACCCCCAACCCTAAATAAATTTTATGGCTCCGTCACTGTTTCTTAGTATTCTAGTTTCTTAATGACTTCATAATTGTAATATATTGGACTTATTAGATCATCTTATCAAGAAAAAGTTCAGTTCCGAAATGATATAAAAAACTTTCTCATTATACTTTCAAGTGCTTAATTTATACCCATTTGAACTCAAATATAGAAGTTCTTAGTATCGCTAGGTTCTTCTTGTAACACCAGCATGCTAATTATAAATTTAATGAAAATGAAGTTCAAATGATCATAAAGTCAATTTCTTAAAAATTTTGGTCCAACACATAGGCATTTTATATTTAAAATAATATCAAAATTTATACTTGTTGCGGGCTAGAATATACGAGGCGGTAGAGTTAGAAAATTTTCGTCTGAGCGTTGTACGAATATCTAGCACACACAAACAGAAGATAAAAGAACACCACAATTTTTACGTGAAAAATCCTAAAAAGGGAAAAAACCACGGGGCCACGCCCAGTTGAAAAGTTCCACTAGTGTAGTTTGAGATACAAGAGGCTGATTCGTCCAACAAGTTAGGACGATCAGATTACAATAAGTTTCTTCTGAATTGAAATTCAGTTACAAAGTCGAGCAGAGTTCCGGCGTCACTCGGGCGTCTGGCGGGATTCCAGCGTCGTTCTGACGACAGGAAGAACTCCGACGATGGTCGAGGAGGAGCTGTTCTTTCCTCTCCTTCTCTTCTCTTCTTCTCTTCTCTTCTCTTCTCTTATTCTTGCTTGGGTCCCCTCCTCATGAGAAATGAGGGCTCTATTTATAGTTTTTATTGAGTGACATATCTCGTAAATAGGTGTGAGATCAGGGGCAAATAGGGAGTGGCCGAATGGACGGCTGATATTGAATCCTTCGATCGTGCACCGTTTGTTGGACATTTGAAGGTTTTAGTGATGTCGGAATTCTGCAATCTTGGGTTCGTTGGATTCGTCTCGTCGAGCCGTTCGATTCGACTATAAGCTCGTTAAAATCGAAGACCGTTTAATAACTTAAATTGTGGTACGAGCTTTCCAACAGCACTTCGGGCTCTAGATTTGGGCTCATTTGGGCTCGGATTGAGTTGAATTTGGTGTCTTTGGGTTCGTATTTCCGAGACGCTCAGTTTGACTATAAGCTCGATGAAATCGGAGTTCAAATGCTCCCGAATTTAATTTTTGAAGTTTCCGGTTCAATTTTACCTTGAGATTCGTGCTTGATCAACACAATTTTTGGAGAACATATCAATACTTGATAAAATATATATTTTTGACGTTGTATCTATTATCTCTATATATTTTGACTTCAAAATTAACAAGTTCAAAAATACTTTGGGTCTTGAAAAAGTATTAACACAAAAAACAAAATTTTGGAGGTACTCCAAGTTATGCCCACTCCTTGGACGATACGAGAGAACCCCCCTTGAGACCTTGAACCAAGTTTTTTTATTTTTATTTTCTCTTGATCAAAATTTTATTATTTGAGGAAGTTAATATATCTTTCATG